GAATGGAGAGACAGCAATATATAGTGATCAGTGTCAGCCTACTGTCTGGGAAGTCTAGGTTCAAAATCCCCAGTGTACAAAGGAAATGTGCTGGATGAACTTGGTCTAGACACACACTCTCAGCCTAATCCACCTCACTATCTTGTTGTTATTCCTTATCTAAATAGTTCACCTTGCTCTCCTACTGAGAAAGACTGGATCATCAGGGCATGAAAACAGTGAAAAGGGGGAGGTAACCCAGTTGCACCCAGGAGAGCCCTAACATAATGAGCCCAACAAAACACAGAATGTAGCAAGGCACACAAAAGCTCATACCTTGAATAAAACTTAGTTGGTCTTAAGGGTGCTTTGTATTTCTCCTGTGTGATTGAGGTAGCTGAGCAAAGCAAGGCAAGGGGAAGGAGAGGAGCCTCAGCCAATGGAGGGAAAGAAAGCCTTGCCTTTGTCTCATGTGTGATTGAGGCAGCCTGGCCAGGAAGCAAGCTCTGGCTCATTCCCTCCCTCCTCCTGGGAGGAGGAGGGGGAGGGGGAGGGGCCTCAGCCAGTGTAGAGAACAAAAGCTTGTCTATCTCTCCTATGCGATTGAGAAAGTCTGGTAAAGCAAGTTGTGACACAGCAGCAGCAGAAGTGGAGAAAGAAGCAAGAGACAGCCAGTTCCTTGCAGGCTGGATAGGAGCCCTCTGAGGGCCTGATCTGGCCCATGGGTCACATGTTTGACACCCCTGTCCTAGCCTATTTTCACCATGTCTTCTTGCTGCATGGTAGCTGTGGGGAGGCCCTGTGTAACTCATAGTTGGCTTGAAGCCACTCGGAACAAACCCATGGCAAACTGGCCACGTGCAACTGTTGTCATGTGTAAGAAGTGCTGGAAACTCTGTTGATGGAGGCAGAATGTACACAATGGCATACCAATTAGTAGGAGCTGGCATAGGTACTTTAAGTCGCCACCACAGGGCAAAATGGCTGTGAGAATAGACCCCCTCATCTTTTCAGCATGGATATTTCAGCACATAGTGGCTGTTACTTAAATCACTTGGCAAGAAAGCAAAAGCTACATTCCCAGTCATTGTACAGTGTAAAGACTGGCTCAGCATGAGATCCAGAATGACCAGGTTTTCTGCACTGTGGCAGGTATCAGGTATTGATTGAGTGGCACAGTGGAAGAGTGCCTGCCTTTCTGTGTCTCTGTAAGTACAGCCAAGAAGAGTATGAGGTATATGGGTCAAATATGGGTTTGCCTAAAGCTCGTGCAGCTGTCGGTACTATCTCTGTTTGCCTCAATAGTTTTAATAGGACATGGTCATCCAAGGTATTTACTGTCCACTTTTCAGACACAAAGACGCCAGAAAAAATAAGTATGTAGGAAATCTGGTTTATTTCACAGCGGGCAGAGAACTGGTAAACTCTATAATTTAGGCAATCAATAGCTGTTTTCACACCGTGAAAAAAAAACCTGCTAAGAATTAAGCTACCAAGACATATGCTCATATATCTGCATTTGTGTTTTCAAGAGTGGCATGGAATTATAATCTTGGGAGAATGTGTGAGATCATTTAAAAAGAAAACAAAAAAGGATTTTAGAGCCAACCACATTCAGGGAAAACATTGAGCACAATATGAACCACAAACCCAGAATGTCAGTTGTGCACAAAATCATTCAGGTCACCTAATCAGAAGAGTGAGGACCAAACTACACATTATGTTGGAGATCCATGATCTGAACTCCAGACATGTATTTTAGCCGTAAAGAGCATCACAGCAGACTTCCAATATGGAGCTGGGCCATGGTACTGGGATGGGGGTTACAACTCTTTCCACTGCATAATTTGCCTGGTCAGCAGCACACACACACCCGGTTGCTTATTGTCCCATTTGGCAAAGAGTAAGTGCCTATTTAGTATTGGTGGAAATAATTTTGATTGGAGAAATCAAGTAGAGGGTAGAAGAATGACCCTCTCTCCTGTGCTGCAGTGGGGGGTTGCATGCTACCTAACTTCTGCAAATTGAGGCACTCATGGTAACTTGGCATAAAATGCTATATTCTAATTGTCAACTTACCGTATTTTTTGGACCATAAGACGCACTTTTTCTTCCAAAAAAAGTGGGAGGAAAAGTGAGTGCGTCTTATGGACCGAAGGTTCAGCATATTTTTTTCCCTGTTTTCCTCCTTTAAAAACTAGGTGCGTCTTAAGGTCAGGTGCGTCTTATGGTCCGAAAAATACGGTAAGTCAGATCTGAGAATACTTAAATCTAGAGATTGGAGCCATGAACAGACAAGACAGATTTTTTTCTACATGCCTGACAAATTTTCCAGGTTTGCAGAAAAATCTGACATCTTAAAAAATGCAGTGTGAGGGGGTAAAAAACCCTAAATGATAAAATGAGTGATCGTAGCTTTAAGAAACAGATGGCCAGCATGGCCATTGCTACACAACCAAAACAGTTTTGCCAACATTCCAGGCTGGTTTCTGTCAGTAAAAGTGGGAATGGAAGAGGCCTTTCCAGGGCTGTTTTGGTCTTTGAGAGAAGACTCAGGGAGCCAGGCCCGGCCCGGCAGCAACCATCAGGTGACTTGCTACCACCTGACTTGCATGATTCACCTATGCCTGGCTACTTGCTATTGCTCAATAGCAGCCACCCCACTAAAGCCACTGTGGTGTAGGGGTTACAGCTTCAGACTAGGGTCTGGGAAGCCCAGGTTAAAATCAACAGTCTGCCATGGAAATTCACTAGGTGACTTTGGCCTACTCATATATTTTCAGCCTAAGGTAACTCACAGGGTTGTGAAGAAAAAAAGGGGAGGAGAATGATGTAAGCTACTTTGGTACCCACTGTCGAGAAAGGTGGGGTATAAATGAAGTTAATAATAAATATAACTGATGATGGGAAGCAGATAAAAGTAGGTTGGTGAATGGCTAAGGAGAGATTGAGACTGGAAAAGGGGACAGGATGCGGGTGTTGCCAGGAGGAGGGAAAAAGGAAATAGTGTAAGAAGGAGGATACAGGAGAAAGTGAGCTGCCCCCTGCAAGTCCTTGTTGATTCCCCATCTCGAAAGTCTGTCTAGCCCAGTGGCTGGCACCACACAACTGTGCCATGGTTTTCCCAGGTGGAGGCTGCCATTTGGGGTAGGAGAAAAAGCTGAAGACAGAAGGGCAGATAAAGGTAGGTTTCATATTGGGTTGCCAGCCCCAGATAGGGAAATTCCTGGATATCTGGGGGTGGAGCCTGGGGAGGGTAAGTTTGGGGAGGGGAGGGACCTCAGCAGGGATGTGATGCCATAAGGTTCATCTTCCAAATCAGCCATTTTCTCCAGGAGAGAGATTAGTTGTAATTCCAGGAAATCTTCAGGCCCCACCTAAAGGTTGGCAACCCTACCTTCACAGGTGGGTGAGATGGGAGAGGCTATAGGGCTCCCTCAGGAAGGCCTCTTCTAATGATAAAGCCCAGGCAGGCTAAGGAGGGTGGAAGTGATCCTTTAGGTACTTGGTTCCAACTCATTTGGGGCTCTAAAGGGGGAAAAAACCAGGACCTTGAATTGGGCCTAGAAATAAAATGGAAGCCAGTAACGGAAAGGTAGACTATAAGGGCTGTAAATAGTGGAATGTTGATTTTATATGTTCATTTTGGCAAGTCCCAGTCAGGACTTCAGGAGCTATATTGTACCAGTCGAAGTTTCTGAACCATCCTCAAATCCAGACTCAAGATGAGTGTTGTAACAGTAGTTTAATTTGGACACTACTATGTTTATTTGGCAGTAGTCATGTCTACTTTTTCCAGGAACAGCTGGAACAGTGCCTAGTGCACCGTAACCTAGAAAAAGGTTCCCGAGTAACCTTTGCAGCCTGCCCATCCAGAGACAGTGAGACATTCAGGAGACTGTGAACCTGTTCCTTGTAGGTGGTGTAACCCCATTTCAGAACATGTGGTAGAACCATTCATGTATCAGGTTATTCCTGACCCACAGTATCTCTATAAGGTCTGGGTTAATTTTCAGTTTATTCTCCCACAGCATGTAGATTGACTGTAAGGCTGATTTCCCACAAGCGCTGCTCCACGCTCGCTCTTCCCTTTTGCCCCGATGGTACGTGTCAATTTCACACAAGCCGCTGTATAGCTGCATTTTGCCCTGGAGCTTTGCGCAATTTCCCCTGCATCTACTCAATCCTCAAAAAACAAGATTGAGTAGACGCGAGGAAATCACGCCAAGCTGCGGGGCAAAATGCAGGCGCGCAGCAGCTTGTGTGAAATTGACACGTACCATCGGGGCAAAAGGGAAGAGCGAGTGTGGAGCAGCGCTTGTGGGAAATCAAGTGTCTCTGTTTACCCTATGACCATTTTCTAGCCCCTTTTCTTAGTACCATTTCAAAGTTATTGTAGTAGTGCTGAGAACCTAAGGGGGCAAAACTAGTGATGTTATTTTATTGTATTTTGTGGTTATGACCACAACAAATCTGATTTTTCAAACTCTGCTCTTCTCAGCAAAGCTATGCATGGAGGAAAAGAAAGAAAAACAGATTTAAAGGATACGATTAGTACAAGTGCTAGTAACTTGTGTATCACCCTGTTTGAAGTGGTAATCAATAACATTATCCAATGTATTTTTTAACACTTCCTCTGCGGTTTGCTGTAATGTAGAGTCTCAGAAACTGGACGTGATTGATATAATTCCATCGGCCTCTACTGGCAACAACGTATGTCAAAGAGAAAGTGTTCCTTTCTTCATTCAATTATGGCTAGACCAGAATCCCAGGAAAGGGGGTGAGGGAAAAGCTGTCATAATTTCTCAAAGATGACTTTAAAGCGTTGGAAAACAGATTGAATGAAATTGTTTTAGCCAAAATACCCCTTAAGAATAAATTTGTATTTTTCCCTTTGTATGAACAAACCACATTTATAAGTACTACCCTACACCAAATGAACATACTTTTAAAAGCTAATTTACAACATGGCCATTATTGTTGCAGTTGATAATTATTCTGTTTCTATCTCTGTACAGGACTTCAGTATGGAAATGGATCTCAAAGCCTACAGCAACAGGACGCTTGCCAAGGAGAACAGCTCTGCCCTTTCAATGGACTCAGGTTTTCCTACCTGGGAAGACTATAAGAACAGTGTAGATGACATACAGTACTTTCTGATTGGGGTTTACACCCTGATAAGTCTTGCTGGCTTCATGGGAAACCTGCTGATTGTTGTAGCATTAATGAAATGCAAGCAAAAAACTATAATAAACTTTCTCATTGGAAACTTAGCCTTTTCTGACATTTTGGTGGTTGTCTTTTGCTCTCCTTTTACCCTGACATCTGTCCTGCTTGATCAGTGGATGTTCGGAAAGGTCATGTGTCACGTCATACCCTTCCTCCAGTGTGTCTCTGTCCTAGTTTCTACTTGGATGTTAATTTCGATCGCTGTGGTCAGATACTTAATGATACGGCACCCTCTTTCAAGCAATCTGACGCCAAAACATGGCTGTTACCTCATTTTGGCCATCTGGTTTCTCGGTCTAGTCATTTGCTCCCCTCTGCTTGTTTTCCACAAGACTGTTGATCTTCATGAAGCCCTTCATCTGGAAGCCCTGCGAAGCAAGCACTTGTGTGTCGAGTCATGGCCATCTGCTTCATACAGAATTGCTTTCACTATCTCCTTATTACTCATGCAGTACATTTTGCCTTTGGTTTGTTTAACTGTAAGCCACACCAGAGTCTGCAGATCTGTAAGTTCCAGATTGTCAAGAAAAGAAAACAAATTGGAAGAGAATGAGATGATCAACTTAACCCTCAATGTACCCAAGAACAGTGGGGACCAGCTGCAGCTCTCTACCTCTGAGAGGTGGAGTTATACTTTTGTCAGGAAACACCGGAGGAGGTACAGTAAGAAAACAGCTAGTGTGATGCCCGCAATTTTAAGGCACCATCAGGACAATATTTGTAGTGATTCTGGAACAGAAAGGAGTCAGCTTTCTTCATCCACCAAATTCATACCAGGAGTACCCATCTGCTTTGAAGTAAAACGGGAGAATTCAGAAGCACAGGATGGGATCACAGCAGCTCAACCCACCACTCGGATTAAGAAGAGGTCTCGGAAGGTTTTCTGCCGACTGACAGTGCTGATCTTAGTATTTGCAGTCAGTTGGATGCCCCTTCACATTTTCCATGTTGTAACAGATTTTAACGGCAACCTCATCTCAAACAGGCACTTTAAATTGGTGTACTGTATTTGTCATTTGCTGGGTATGGTGTCCTGTTCTTTAAATCCCATTTTATATGGGTTCCTTAACAATGGCATAAAAGCTGATTTGATGGCTCTTATTCCATGTCTACAGATATCATGAATTAACATCAAGATGCAAAATGCCCACATGTCCACCAGCTCATCTGGCTGTTTGTGTGAATGCGCTCTGATTCATAATAGTTGGCCATTTAACAGATAATGGTTAACTTGGGACCTAGTGGATTTCCTGCGATTTTTTCTTGTTCAGGCCAAAGTCTGACTTGTTAATATAGGTTCATCTCATCTTCCCCACCTTGAAAGTTTACAGTCCAGTCACCAAAGTCAAGTTTCAGGTTAATGTTGCAATTTACTTTCATATTTTCTTTGGCAGATAAAAATATATTTCTGTAGTCTCACTATATGCAGAAATGCAAGCTCATAACACAGTTCAATACATTCCGGCCAAAGCTGATTCAGCAGTATTTCAAGAATTCCAGATTGCAAACCTTTCTAGCAAATGATAAAATGATACATTGCATTAGGCAATTGCCAGATTATTAAATGTTTTGCTAATAAGCATTGTTTAAAATGAATCCCTTTAAATTAAATGTTGGCTTCTTTGTGTATAGGGCATTCTCTTGGCTGTTTGGAAATAAAAGATCTCCATTTTAATATGGTTCAAACTGTAGGCAAACTGTACTGAAAAGCCTACATAGAAATGGCAACCAATTCCATATTGTTAATTACAATGCTAACACAATAGAGAACGATACATGCATTTAGTACGTTATAGAATTACGCAGTTAGAAAGGCAAGTCTCTTCCCACACAGTTTTAACTTTCAACAGTGAAGGAGACCACAGAAAGAAGGGGGGGGGGAGAGCAGGAAACAAATACAGCATTTTTAGCATGTACCCAGATTGTGGCGTGGTGTGGTCCATGGGATCGCGAAGAATCAGACTCGACTATGCGACTGAACAACAACACCCAGACTGTAGAATGCTAAGAGCTGGATCCAACAAAATTTTCTGCTGGTGAAAAAGGAAGATGGTGACTATCAAAACAGGCTCTGCTGTGGATCATGGGACCTGCATGTAAAAATACCATGTGGGATGAGGTTTGTAGCAAGCAGTGAAATTGGATGAAACTGGCAGAAAAAAAGGTCGGCTGAATCCAACCTTAGATCATAACATGTAATTTTCCACTGTTACATTTTCAGACAACTGTAATAGGTGCAAATGTTGCACAGGCCTCTGAAGTTGCCTTGACTGTAGCATGTATTTCTGTGGGTAAATGTGTATTTCCAACATAATGTAGAAAAAAAATGGGTTGGATCCCACAGAAGATTTCCATGTGCACAACAGTCCTTGAGCAAGTTGAAGTGCTAAAATTATTCCTTGCTGTCTACTTGCACAAAGTGAAAGTGATTTGTGTCTCTATTATGTCCTCTCTGTGTGCAAGGTGTTTCTTCTGCTATGATTTCAAAAACAGGCTAAAATAAAATAATGTAAATCATGCATTGTTCTGTATGTACATTGTTATTTTGTTTAAAATGATATCGAAGTGCTGTGTGTTGCTGCAGCCCTTGCACTATTACTTGCAGGAGCAGAACTGTGCGAAGTACATTTTCGTTTCTGTTCACGCATCACTTGATCCAAGGCCTTGTCTAGTGGTTCCTGTTTTTAAGGTCAATATTATTGGATTGGTGATGATTATCTTCTGCCCAGGTATGAAGCTATGAATCCAGGTCAGCTATACTTCACACCTCAATAAACACTAGCTCTGGAAATTTTAGTGGAGAAGTCATTAGACATGTTGGTGATTGTATCCTCCACTTTGCCCACATATACATTGGTCAGGAGCCCGCTCCCTCAGGCAGTGCAGTCCCAAGCACCACCCATGGCACAGCAGCCAGGCGCTGGTGTATTCATGGAGCCTCTAGTTCCCTCTCTAAAGGGTTCCAGCAGAGACAAGGAGGCAGAAAAAGACGGAGAACTGTGGCTGCACAGGCTGCAACCTTGCCAGCAGTCCCAGCAACTGCACCATCATGCCCAGTACAGGTCACAAGGTGTGACAGAAGGGCTGTGATGGATGGGATGTTCAGAATGAATTACAGGGCAGCAGAGACCCAGGCCTGTGCATGTCACAGCCAAGGGATGAGAAGGGGTGAGGACATAGACTTTGGGGCCTTGTTAATGGCACACACACCCCACACACCCATAGAGGAACAGAGTGCTGCCTAATAGCAACAGGACAACTGACATAGTTGGCAAGGAGTGCAGCAATCACCAGCAGTGACCCCAAACAGGTCCATGGCTCATACAGTGCAAAGGCTGAAGTCACCAAGAAAGGGGCACTGGGAGATGATGAGTGCGCCCAGCTAGAGGGCTCCACTGCTCACAGGTGGGGGCATCTCCAGCCATGCTGACAAGGGCACCTCTGGGCTGTCACCCTGGCTACCGCTGCTAGTGGTGGAACAGGAATGGGGGCCAAACTGGAGTAGGCTCTGGGAAGGGGGTACGCAGCACCACCAACAGATCCCCCAATCGCCTCTTCATTTATTATTTATTACTTTCAATTTACATCCCGCCTTCAATGGAGCAGAAGCATTCTGGGACTGGAATGACCGTCATTCCACTCTGGGCGCTATCATTCCTGTCCTAGAGTAATTTGTTCATGACCAGACACTGTCACTCTTAATCCATTCTGCATTCATTGTAACTTCTGTGCACAGTAATATATTTCAGTGAAGCCCATGCAAATCAATTGGCATTCCTAGCTCCCGTTATACCCAGTGGGCATTCCATCATATCCCATTGTTCCTAATAGCCATTCCTATTATTAGTATTATTAGTATTAATCACCCAATCCCTGCTACAGCAGGGCTCAATATGAGTAAAAACATGCACTAGATAAAGCAATTAAAATCAACACATTTCAAAACAGATGGCAAACAAGTTAATCCCATTTCAGATTTAGTACATTCCCTCTTGATACATACTTGACTGTTCCAGATGTGACAGCCACCAGCCCCTGCAGGTGCCTGGCAGCTGCTGGCACAGATACTGGCAGTCCCTCCATGCACTGGTGACCCCAGGAGAAAGCATACCTCTCTCATGGCAGGTCTCCAGCTGCTCTACTCAGTCACCTCTGACATGGAGGAGAGGGTGGGGGAGATGAGATTTGGTGTCTGTAGGCCCCATGCCCAGGGTCCCAGGAAGGCTCTGAATCCCTTACTGCAGCACCCAGGACCTTAGGGAGCTGCCTGCCTTCCCTGCCAGTGCCCTCCACACACCCCTCCAAAGATATCAAGTTTGCCCATTGCATTGGCTCCCCCCCCCCCAGCCATTGACTCTGGGGACTCCATGTTCCCTGCTGCCTTAGTAATACCCCCAAATGCCTGCCTCCCAGATAACCTATGACAGACCCCTGTATCTCCCCAATTGTCTGGCAGATTTTTCCCGCCAAACCTTCAGTTCCCTTCAGTGACTGAGTTGGCCTACAGTTGTGTGTATCTTCTCTATTGGTATAAACTTGAAACTGTCCCAGCCTTTGTTTAGATATTGGTTTAGGCTTTTGACCCAGTACAGGAACTTAAGGGAAAGGCAGGAGCTGTCCTGTTTTATAAACCCTTGTGAAATGGCATTTGAGGCAAATTCACTTTCAAAAACAGAATGAATATTTTATTAAGCAGGCAGGGAATATATGTATAATAGGGGTATTCACAATTTTGAGATTGCTGAGGCAAAAACTTTCTAATATATACAGAGTTGAATTCTTAGACCATTCTAGAGAGTGTATTTGTAGTTTTGTTTCAAGGTTTTCTAGTTCTTTCAGAGGTACTTTGTTTAGTATATTTAAACACTAAGACAGTTCTTATTAAAGTTTATTCTGGTGGATAGCGTTTGCTTAAAGTTTCTAGATTTCTCCCTTAAGAGTTCTAAGTCTTTTCCCTTTAGATACTACAGCTTTTCACTGACTCCTGAGGTGTCTAAGCTTCTCCCCTTTATCACAGACCAGGGTTCTCTTCCCAACACCTTTTAGTGTCAGGAAGTTATTTTCCTTGTCCCTAAGAAGCAATAACTCCTTTTACTATTTGGCTTGTATGGGAGTTCACTCTAACTACCCAGACCTACCAAATCCCTCTCCAGTATCCGTTGTATTTATTTGTTTGTTTTTATTTATTAATTCAATGTATATCCCGCCCTCCCCAAATGGGCTCAAGGCAGCTAACAAAGAGGCATATGCCATGACTGAACAACTAAAAACAGAATAAAACAATGTATAAGGCTGTTCTGTAGCTTTCCTCATTGAGAATCTCAATTCTCCCTCAGAGCAGTTTTAATATATTTATGACAACGGGGTCTCTCTTCTTCTCTCAGTAGAAGGGCTTTTCTGACTATTACCTGTCAGAAAATACTGATTCCCAAATGTCTCTTCTCTTCTTTGGCTACTGATCCAGATGTTAGATTTCAAACCAAGACCAAAAGGTGAAAGACCCCTTTTCCCTCCAGATCAGCTGTTTTGTTTCCTCTCTCAGCTGATGTTGGCCAATCAGAGAGTGAGTAGAGCAGCCAATCACATAAGCTCTTATGTCCAGGGAAGATTAATTCATGAACTCCCTGACTCTCTAACACAAGTAGCATTTTAAAAAGCCTGCTTTTCTGTACAATCCGTCACATCTCCTCCCCTTCTTATAGCAGGCACACATTTATTTACTTTATTCATTTATTTATATCATTATATTTATATCCCACCTTTCTCTCCAATGGGAACTCCAGTGGCTTACATCATTCTCCTCCGTTTTATCCTCACAGCGACCCTGTGAGGTAGGTTAGGCTGAGAGTGTGTGACTGGCCCAAGTGCACACAACTACCTTCCATGGAAGAGTTGGGATTTGAACCTGGTTCTCCCAGATCTTAGTCAGACACTTTAACCACTATGCCACGCTTGCTCATTCATCCAGACCACCCACTCGCCCATCTCCCTTTCACACAGAAGCCAGTGAGGTGTGTCGGGGGCCCCAGGTGTGAGGTCAGCCTTGTAGGTGCTGCTGGGCCCCTGCTATGTTTGGCAGATGACCATGATGAGGGACCAGAGACACCTGCACAATCAACCGACA